AGATGACTATCAAAAGAAAGAGTTAATAGAGTTGAAAGTAATTGTCTTTAGAGTGAGGGAATTATGATGAAGTCATATGAGACAGATTGCAGTTTTTGTTATAAGCCTTGTAGAATTATTTGGCTTTTTAAAGATGTATAGTATAATTTTATGAAAACGTAATTTTTAAAGACATTTACACACATTTCTAACTGTGACACCAAGAACACCCCTCACACTGATACAGCATGAACATTCATTTATTCTTTTATTTATCTAACTATCCAGGTGACTAGTACAGGGCTGTTCTTATTTCTGAGCCTGGCTTGAGTTCTGGGGCTTGGTGGAAGGGATAGCTTTGTTGTGAGTGGTATTCATGAAATTTTGAGAAATGGAAAGGTAGACAGATATAACATGTGGGTGGGAAGGATAAAGACAGTGAGAAGATTAAAAGTTTGCAAGGAAAGGGACAGAACACTTTAGAGCAGTTGGAGAAGGGGAAGCAAATGGTGCTCAGAAGGATAACCTACCTCTGACAGCTGAGGAGGTGAAGAAGGATGGTAGATTGGGTCAATCAATTTAAGTGTTGCAGTGGTGGCCAGAGGAGGTGGCCAAATAGGAAACAATTCTCAACTTTAGCAAGGGGGTTGGAATAGGAGAAAAAGTTATTATGAGGTCAGGGGAGGAAGGACAAATAGTTAGTTGTCTCAGGTAGATAAGAATGAGCAGATAAGACATAAGTCAGCTGCAGGGCAGGGGATAATAGATTTTAAGAGCAAGCCTCCCTTTGATCCCTTACCCCCACCCCACCAGTTTCTATCAGTGTTGACCTCTATCTTGTCATGTTGGAAGTGTTTAATAAATGCTATCTAAATATACCAGACTATGTTTTCCCTTTTCTTATTAAACCTTCTGATTCTCCTCAAATTTTAGTACTACGTTCTACCCCCATCATTTATTGGACAGTTCTTCATTCTAGTTCACTCTTCTAGGCATGACTTTAAAACCTCTGAGTCTCATGGATTCTCTGTTCAAATATTTTGTCCATTTTCTTATTGAGATGTTTGTTTTCTTATTATTGAGTTTTCAGAGTTCCTTATATTCTGGATTCCAGTCCATTTGCAAATGTTTTCTCCCTATCTGTAGCTTATCTTTTCATTTAAAAAATCCCTTTGGAAAATAAGTTTTAATTTTGAGAAATTCTAGTTTATCATTGCTATTGTCTTATGAGTTATCCTTTTCATGTTATATCAAAGAAATCTTTGCCTACCTCATTGTCACAAAAATTTTCCCTTGTGTTTTTTTCTAAAAGTTTTATACTATTAGGATGTACATTTAGGTCTGTGATCCATTAAGATTTAATTTTTTATATAAAGGAAGGTATGTGTGCACATTTTTTGTTCTGTTTTGCTCTTGCCTGTGAATATCCAGTTGTTCCAGCACAATTTGTTTAAAAGACTATCCCTTCTCCACTGAATGGCCTTCACAGCTTCATCAAAAATCAGTTGCTGGGCCACCCCGTGGCTCACTCGGAAGAGTGTGGTGCTGACAATACCAAGGCCACGGGTTCGGATCCCATATAGGGATGGCCGGTTTGCTCACTGAGTGAGCGTGGTGCTCACAACACCAAGTCAAGGGTTAAGATCCCCTTACCGGTCATCTTTTAAAAAAAAAAAAAAAAAAATCAGTTGCTTACATATTTGTGAGTTTATTTCTTAGCTCTCTGTTCAGTTCCTTTCCTAGACTGTGTTTAGGCTTCTTGTTTTTTTAGATGAAATGACTAGAATCACTCTTTCTTGAAATCTTGAGGATTCAAATTTGTAATCTTAAGAATTCAAGTTATGCTTAGTTATATACCAAGAATATAAAATTGCTTCCACATACAACTAAAAAAGCATAATATTGTAGGCCGTTTTGCTTTGAATCTTAGGAAATAATTCTATTTTTGATGTTGATAAAGTAAGAGTTGTCCTTTCTTGGAACCTTTATACAGTGTTGGTGGGATTGTAGATTAGTCAGCCATTATGGAAAACAGTATGGACGTTTCTCAAACAACTACAGACAGAACTGCCATATGCTCCAGTAATCCCACTACTGGGAATATACCCAAAGGAATGGAAATCATCATGTCGAAGGGATACCTCCACTCCCATGTTTATCACAGCTCTATTTATAATAGCCAAGAGTTGGAACCAACCTAAATGTCCGTTGGCAGATGATAGGATAAAGAAATTGTGGTATTAATGTACAATGGAATACTACTCAGCCATAAAAAAGATGAAATTCTGCCATTCACAGTAGCATGGATGAGCTTGGAGAAAATTATATTATGTGAAATAAGCCAGGCACAGAAAGAGACATACTGCATGTTCTCATGCATAAGTGGGAGCTAAAAATAAACAAATAAACAACAGGAATAATAAGTTGAGCTTTCAAAAGGAGAGAGCAAAACTGTGGTTACTAGAGGCAGTAAAGTGGAAGAGAGGGAAGATAGTGAGAGATTGGTTAATGGACACAAAACAGGTAGATATGAAGAATAAGTTCTATTGGTGTACAGTTGAGGTAGGCATCTATAATTTACAATAATTTACTGCATGTTATCAGATGGCTAGAAGAGAGATTGAATGTCCTCATCACAAAGAAATGATTAAGTTGTGTAATGATGAATATAATAATTACTCTCATTTGACCATCATACATTGTATACATGTATTAAAATATAACTGTACTCCAGAAATATGTATAATCAATATGTTTCAATAAAAATTTTTTTTAAATAAAATTAATAAAGAAAAAAAAGAGTTCTTTTTTCACATTCTTGCCAGCATTTGTTATTTTTTGTTTGGGTTTTTTGTTGTTGTTGTTTTTTTGATAATAGCTATTCTAACTGGAGTGAGATATTATCTCATTGTGGTTTTTTTTTTATTTTTTATTTTTTTTATTTTTTATTTTTATTTTGTCAGTATACAATGTAGTTATTGTGTCCCATCACCGAAACCTCCCTCCCTCCTCCCTCTCCCCCCTCCCACCCAGATGTGTCCCCTCCATTTTCTTGTTGTAAGAACTTCAAAAAAAAAAGTTATGATTGTTAAATCTTCCTCTCCCCCCCCCCCCGCGCTGTTTTTTTTTTTTTTTTTTTTTTTTTT